CTCTAGGGAGCAGTTGGGTAGAAGAGCAGGTGCAAAGGCCCTGGAGTGGTGAGGCACATTGGAGAGGCTGAGGAATGACAAGCCGCCAGGTGCAGGCTGGTGTGCAGGGAAGAAGGGAGCCATTGGGAGGTAAGTGACAGGGCAATGGGCACCTCCATGACTTTAAGTGAGGTGACAACTCTTCCTGGAGGGTTTGCAGTGAGAAGAATCTGCCTTACGTTTTGAAGAGTTACTTCAGCTGCTGCATGATAACAGACCAAGCATGAGGATTTATTTACAGAGAAGCAGAGGTAGGAAACATATCAGGAAGACTCTGTGCTCAAACAGGCAGGATGCAGTGGCTGGTTAGGGCAGAGCATATAACCATGGAGCTGGAGAGAAGAAACTGACTGTTTTTCACAAGAATTGCAGGCCATCAGACAGTATTTGCTGATGGACTAAATGCAGAAAGAATGGTATGCAGAAAGAATGGAGATACCTGAGGAAGTAAAGGACAAGCTGGCCTTTACACAATGAGGGGCGGGGAGAGCAGGCCTGGGAGTCAGGAATGCTGGCATGGATGTGTTACATTTCAGAAGCCGTAATGGTCATTGAAGTGGATTGCTCGGCAGGCTACTGGTTATGCATCACACCCAGAGATAGCAGTTTGGGAGTGGTGAGTGACAGGTGGATGTTTATGCCCCAGGTTCAGAGGAGACGTCTCAGAGCATCAATGAGCATAGAAGTAGTCAGGACAGAGCCTGCATACCCTAAAATTTAGAAGTGCAGGAGACCCAACCAAGCTGAGAAAGCACTATCTGAGATACAGAAACCAAGAATAGGCAACCTTTCACAACCAAGCAGAGAATGCTTTCCAGAGAGGGGGACGCACCATGCCTCATTCCTAGCTCTATTGAGAAAAGCTCCTGAAGACCTGTGTGAATGTGACATGCTTCAGGATCCACATGGGTTCACTAAGCAAGTGCTGAGTTCAAGTAGGACTTAAGTTGACTAATCATAGAAAAGTGAAGGACAAAATTTATTTACAAAGACAGGATATTGAGTGTGATGACAAGTACATGGACCAGACACTGCTCAACTGGTGACACTGCAGAGCACGCAGGAGCAAATGAGGGCCAGCCCAGAAAGAGATTTCTTGGGGACATGTCATTGGCTCTGTTCTTGGCCTGCTCACTGCATCAGTGCTCATAACTAGGCAGGATCTCCACAATCCGAACAGAACAGCTGGGCCTAACCCAGTCCACGGAATCAGAACTTCCCCAGGTGGCAGGGCAAGGAAGAGACTAAAGGAAGGTCTGCCCAAGATGTGCAGCTGAAGCCAAGCGGAGCTGGGTGGGAACATGGAGACAACAGGTGCAGACTTTGGAGCAACCTCAGCAGGGAGGCTGCTGCATCACTGCACCAGTGGTGACCTCGAAGGACTCGGAAGACAGTCACATAAGGGTGGACAGAGAAACCAGGTCATTGTGCAGCAAGCTGTGAGGCTCAAGCTGCATGGACACCAGATGAGGGGAGAAGGGACACAACCCAACCACACTCCCATGGCCCAAAAGTACCCTTTCAGGGGTACAGAGGACACACTAGGCCAGAGGAGCATGACTGTAATGGCAAAGGGACTCCAGCCCACCCAGAAACGTTCAGCTGGAGACAACAAAGGAAGCAAGCCTCTCCCCGAGAGTCCTTGGGAGTAACCTGCAAACACTTATTCTGTGGGATCCAAGAGGGCAGATCCTGAATCACTGAGTACAAGGTAGAGGGACATGAACAGTAAGAACAGCTCAAAGAGACATAAATGCTGGGTACTTTGGTTTGGTGACTGTTAGGCATATTTTCACTGATAACTAGGATTTATCTGCAATGTGCTGTCACATTTTACATGTATATCCATACCCTTCCGACCATGGTGTCAACTCCCCCAGGACTGAAATGACATTTTCCATATTTCTAGGCCCAGCACAAACCCTATCACATATTATGTGCTCAATAAATGTGATCTGGATGATTCTGTTATGATTGCAAGCTGGCAGAGATGTAACAGAGTTGATTCATGCTGCATAATTGTTAAAGCTTCTTCCAAAGAGCAGATTCTATCATCACTGAAAAACTATGCAGAATCCAGCATCCCTGGGGACACAGGCATGTTCTAAATCTTCATGGTGGATTTGGAATTTATATAAAATTATTTATAATTATTTCTTATATTCAATTGCAATATTAGTATCAGTTTAAAGCTGATATTAAGTATGAAGGGGTAGTTATTTCTCTCTCCAAAGCTTCTATACTCCACATAATATGCTTAAGGCTTCATCAATGAAGGAAATGTGATCCTTACAGGTGTCTCAGAGATGTAAATTTAGTTGTCCAAAGTCACACAGATGAAATGATGAATAGAGAAGGCAAACACTGAACTCAGGTGTGTTTAGCTTTATCTTAAGTTGATGCTACTAAACAAATATAGTCGGGGTGGGGGTGTTAAATGATTATTTCTCACAGTTTTGGAGATGGGGAAATCAAGCTGAAGAAGCCAACAGACCCAACACCTAGTGAGGGCCTCTTTCTGATTGTATCCTCTTTTGATGAGCAGAAGGGTCAATGGCTCTAATCCCTTCTAATGAGGAACAATATAACAATCTTAAACAAAGTCCAATCAGCACACTCCTTACTCAGTGGTATTCTCCATCCTAGAATACATCCAACCTTCTGAAGCAGTCTGCCAAGTCTGTTCTGCGCTCCTCCAGCTTTATCCCCTAATTCTGTTTGTGTTCTCTCCCATGGAGCCCTACTGGCCTTCTGGACAACTGTGGGATCACTGAGACCCTGGCTATTCTCTCTCCTGGACTCTTTTCACTTCATTACCTTGCAGGGCTCTCTTACTTTATCCAGGTCTTCATTCCAAAGCCACTACTCAGGGTATTGCCAACTATAGCTCAAAGCAAGATCTTTACCTACCATTTTATAAGCGGTCCCTAAACTACACCTGTGTTTCCTGCTAGCACTTACTAGGCTCTGGATGCGTATTCTTGGACAGTTACTGTCTCCCCAGTGTTTGCTAGAATGCAAGCTCTCAAGGGCAGGGACTCCACACTGCACTCTCATGCCCAAGACCCGACCTGTGACCAGCTGCCCTCCTACTGGGCTGAACGCCCCCTTTACTTTCTATCACCTCTGCTTGGCCTCCTCTGGCTGCCAGGCTGTACCTGCATGAACTTGGCCAGTTCACTGGCTCTCAAGAGAACTTTCGGTTTACTGATAATAGCACTGACAAAGAAGGGACAGCTATCTCATCGTTTTTAACAATGTGTCATCCTTCACTCTTATTTGTGACATGCTACCAATTTCAGAAGTTTTTGATTTTATCAGAGAAGAGACATTTAAGGCAACCAATGAAACAAAAAGATCATTATATATCAAAAGGAGAAAAAAACTTCTTCAAAAAGACCAACTGACAGTTTACTGCTTGAATAGACAATCAGCTCATTGAATGTCTTCCAGCATTCTTTTCAAGAAATGCATTCTTATTAAAGGAGTTATAAAAAGCTGGGTTATCTGGCATTTAACCAACTGGAAGGCTTTTAAAAGGGGAATTTCTGAGATTCCACCAATACAAATCCCTAAACTTACCCAGGGTAAGGAAGAAACTAATCATTATCCAAGAGAGGATTAATACACAACACAGAAGTTCCTGGAGATAAAGTTATCTCTGTTTTAAGAACTTAATTGTCTTATATTATCATTGCCTTGTTTCAAAGAGTTGTCTGCTGCAGTGGCATATTTATTTTTTATAAAACATTTCATATACTACAAAGGCATTTTGTAATACAGTTCGATACACTTTTGGGGGTGGTAGTGCGTGGGGTGGGGCCCAGGGCCACTGGGCAAAGCACTGAGCTACACCGTGGCTAGTGGCAAATTTTCAAAACTCAGGATTTACTTTGAATTTTGTTCTACATGATCTCTCTGAACATTGTTTTAACTGTGGAAATTCCCATTGGCACCTACAGTCTTTCATTTGCTGAAACTTCTTAGCTTTTCTTTCCTTCCAATTTACTGATGCTGGCCACTAAATGTATTCATTTGTCACTTCAAAAGAATTTTTGCCTTCAAGTAGTGGTCAGGCCCAAAGAGTACCTACCCAAAAAGAGTGGTTTTCCAGCAAAGCTAGAGCTAACCTTAGTTTACAGAAGTTGAAGCAATCTGAGAACTCTCCACTTTTACAAGGTGGGAGACAGGCAGCCTTGCAGTAGCCAAATACTAAGAGACAGAAAACACTAAAAGTATCTCCCTCAAACAGTAACAAAGAGGAGGTTTAGCTTCATTTCTGAATTGCAATTTGGCCTTGGGAGGGAAATCTGATGGAAAAAAATACAATGTGAAGTTTATGGAGGTGCGCACACAGGGTGTCCTTCTCAGGCATGTTCTGCATCTTTGCCATCACTCAGAACATGCTGCTCCACATTTCCAGGTTTTTCCTTTTTATGACACTGTAGCTATCAAGTTTGAAAATTTCTTAATACTTACAATCAGCAGCCATCTATTCACATTATTTAGCATAGTGATGAATTTCACTGACATTCAAACATGAATTTTTATCTGGCTTTCTTCATACCACATGATAACAGTTTACAATACAACATACTAAGATACTGTACCATTTTTAATACTCCAAAGAATTTTAAAATGAGAGAGACAGAAAGAGATGTTCCAGGTAGTTTAGTGGTATTTTTAAGCACAACTGAAATTCTTGGTGCTAGGTGAAGAAATACTTCATGGGAACATGGTCCTAGGCTGATAGGATTCTAAACACATCCTCTATTGTGTCTCAGCATCGTTATTTTTGTGATTATTTTGATGCAGTGATTATTTTAGGTTCCACTTCTGAGAGTCTTGGAGAATGTATCACTTATCTTCTAAGAATACTCTTTTAATAAAGATCAAGGACAAAAGGCAGACATACACATCCTCTAATTTAAATGTGTGCATTTTCATGATAGCTGACTTACTTTTTCATTCCACGCCCACAGTCCAATTCCAAGGAATGCTATTCCTAAAAACTGAAAGAAAGAAAGCAGTGTAAATATAAGGCAAACACCATGTTGTTACTAATACAAATAAAGTTTTCAATCTTTTGTCATTTTACCTATGAAACAGCTTTCTCTAAAATCGAAGGAATCATCTTTATTGGGAAAAGGATCACATTTTGTTGCTTAAAATGATTTATACCATAAAATTATGGTACTTAAAATTATTTATACCAGCCAAAAAAGGCTGGAGACCCAAAGGTACATTCCTATTATGAATAATAAAACTAGGTACAGTCTGAAATCAAATGAGTTATCAATAATACAGAATGTTACCATTTTGGGGAAAGGAAAGGAGATGCAAAAGTGAGTGCCCCATGAAAGAGGCCCACATTGCACAGCCATTGGGTAAGCAGGGTCTGAATCTGGAGCCTCTCCTCAGCACTGCACTACTACAGCAGGACAGGTCATAGAGGGCTTGCCCTTCTTAACCAAACCTTTACTTCTCTATTCAGATGAACAGAACAGGCAAGCCCCTCACAGCTCCTTAGGAGCGAATAAGGATCTTAGCAAGTTCAGCGTGATCCAAACAAACTCCTGGATTTTTCTGTTTTTCACACTTAGGTTACTTCATTGTTTCAGAGGGCTTCTATGACCTCCTGGACTAAATTCAGTTCCACAACTTCAGGCATAACTTGGGACAGACAACATGGGGAGCTGAACTAATCATTCAGTCCAATACAGAGTTCAGGTTGGGAGGGAACTGACAGAGGGGAAATGGATGGTCAACAGGGATTCTCTACCTTCAGTTAGTTCTCATTGCAAACCATCTATATAAGACATACACAATTTTCCCTTACATTTTAACATCTCTGGAATTAGACTGTATCTTAGAACTGAAACAATTCAGTATCTGTTTCCTTTCCCTTGATAGTACTTGAAATAACAGTGTCTTATAGTTGGGGTGCCACAGACCAGGAGACACTTGCATGGGCTGTCTACTTGGTCCTGAGGAAAGATACGATTTCTCATCTTCACTGTCCATAGCAACTCTGATTTCCTTTCCAAACACTGAGGTGCAAAAAGTGGGCAGGCTGGCAAGCAGCTTCAGTCTGAAGGCAACAGCACTCCCTGTTTATTTTACTAACATCTCAATTAAGTTAAATGTCAGGAGAGCTGTCCAGAGAGCACACAGAGAAAATGAGTGGGGGTGGTTATTCTTTTCTGCTCCAGGGAAATCTGAGAACCATGTACCTGGTAGAATCTTGGTCACTCACAGCAGGGAGTCTCTCTCTGAAGGCTAAGGTTATAAATCCAAGTGAAGCTGGGCAACTAGCAGGAGCAGAAGCAAAGAGGGGACTGAACAACAGTGCAAATCTGCAATGTAGTGTTATATTTAGAAGCAGAATTTCCTGGAACTCCCCAAAATTATCTGACACTAAATACAAGAGTATGCAATGCTTCCTGAGCTGCTACACAGAAAAGTTTGAGCACATCTTTGACGTGGCAAAAACTTAAGTCACTGTTTTTCCTACTGCTGCTCCCATAGGAAATGCTATTTAAAAAGTGTGTTCAAGGCTTTCTTGTTTTCAACACCCCAACAGAAGGACTGGTCAGTCTCTCTAGTGCCCTCATCAGCATGCTATTTCATTTTACCTTTCAGATCCCAAATAACAAAATATGAACATAAACATTGTGCTACAACCTTGTTCACAGGGGCTTGGCCGAGTACCTGTGGCCATTGTGTGCACAGGGCCACAGCTGCCCAGGGAACAATGAAGAGGCACAGGGTCAAGCTCTGTTTCACACGCTACCCTTTCCCTGGTGACCCAGCTGGCTCCCCAGTGCTGATGCTCACACATGGAACTGGCTGTCCTCACCAGCGCAGTGTTCAGACAGTGTCACCAGATGCAGTATCACAGGTGGCTTTTGTGCAGAGGACACTGTGGTCAGCCATCCCTGCTGCTGCTGGAAGGTGGACATACTACTGCCTAGGCCCCTGTCACCTGTCATGTGTTTTATTACCTACGCAGCACTGGATTTAGTCCTTCATCAGCAACAAGTCTCTTTCAAACTCACAACAGCTGAACTTTAGAAAGAGGAAAATGAGGCTTAGATAGTTTGAGCAACTGACTTAGAAGCACACAGATTCTACCTTTCTGAGTAGAGGTTTGATTGAGGTGGCCACCTGCTTTAAATTCCCTTCTTGGAACAGAAAGTTGCAGTATTCAAGTTAGAGTTAACACCAGACAGTATCAGGACACAGCAGATTCCCCCTCCATCAAGCACAGAAGGCACTGAGTGGCAACAAGATAGAACACCTAGCCTGAGGTGAGATCTGGTTATAGCAGGAAAATTCCCATGCCAGATCCAGAGAGAGAAAGAAAGAAATTCAGTGCAGGGGTGGGGGTCGGGGGGGGGGCACTTTTTCCTTTCCGAAGTTCTGGGTTCTTTGAAACAAAAAGCTTTTCTCTTTCATGTAAGTAGCTTAGAAACCAATGGTTTTCTATAAAAAGGAGAAAGAGAATACAATTTAAAGAAGATTAACAATTTTCTTTAATGGCTTGCTCCAATATCTTCCACTTTGACTATGGCTTTAAACAAAGGCTTAAGAATTTGAATGAAGAACACAATTTGAATGTAACAGCAGGAGTGTAGGGCCTGGGCCTCAACTTCATACATACCTTTGAGGCTACATCATCAGCAAAGGCCCTCCCAATTATTGTAGTCCATATGTTTTGTTTTAAAATCAAATTGTTCCAGCCCCAAATAATTAAATAAAGAAGAGCCAAAAACCAGAGATAGGCATGCAATTGAAGCACATTCAAATTTCCCCTTCCCACCTCCTCAAGAAAAGATGGCCACAAACCGCACACTGACCTCACTCTGAAACCCAAAGGTCACCTTACAGGGCAAGGCTGAGAGCTCTTAGAGGAAACCCTTCATTTCCAGACAGAATCATCTTTCCACATGGCAAAATAACGCAAAGACGCAGTACAAATGTTTATCTACCAGTTTTTAATGTTTTAAAATGAGTAACAATAATTTTGCCAACATATGTTGAATGTTAAATTCCTGGAGTACCAGGGATTGAACTCAGTGTTTGCAAATTATTGGCAAATACTCTGATCACTGAATTATAATCCTAGTTGAACAAGGTTTTGTTGTTGTTTTTAAATATGAATTAGGTAGAATAGCATAGCCTAATGTGATAGCTGCTAACTACTGGGCACCTGAAATGTGGCTACTTCAAACTGAGATATGGGTGTAAGTATTATATGTTCACTGACTTAACGATGTAAAAGTGTAAGGCTCAGTTGAAACAGGCCTCTCCCAAAACCCAATCTATCTGACAGCAGAGACATTAGTCTCAGCTCAGCGGTGATGCCCTCAGCAAACACAGGGCATCATAAAAGAGAAAAGATAGAGCAAGGAATCTTCTAAGCACCCAGACATCTGAAGACACTCAAACATCTGAAGACACCCAAACATTCACACTAAATGCCTCAAGGACTTTGTCCACTGAGGCACTAAACACCCAGAGGACTTTGACCACTAAGTTTACTAAGTTTACTAAGTGTCTTCCTGCCTAATGTCCCTTGCTTTCTTTCAAGCAGTATTAAAAACAAACAAACAAACAAACAAAAAAATTTGGCTTCTCTTCGCTCCCTGCAAATGGCCTTTTCACCCTCTATCTGGCTGCATCCAAGCACAATGAATTCCATGCCATGTTGCCTTTACATACGCCCAGTGGTCTCAAGCTGGTCTCTGTCTTCCATCATTTCTTACAATAACATGAATAAAGAAAAATTTAAAATATCTCAGTAATTGTTTTATTATTACATATTAAAAAGGTGGTATTTTAGATCAGTTGAATTATATCAAACATATTTTCACTTGTTTCATTTTATCTTTCAAACTTAACTGCTGGAAAATGTAACAAATACATGGATAGAGTCTGAACTGGGTTCCATCGGAAATCTGATTCCATCTCCAAGTTTAAAGCCATCACTGTCCAGGCTGAGTAGTCTTTATCCAAAATGCTTGGAACTGGAAGTATTTCAGATGTCAGAATTTTTCAAATTTTGGAATATTTGCACAGATTTTACTGGCTAAACATGTCTAATACAAAAATTCAAAACTTTCTGAACATCATGTGGGTGCTCCAAAAATTTCACATTTTGGATATTTAAATTAAAGATGTTCAACTTGTATTTTCCTTCATGTGGATAAAATGTTTATGGAACTAGCTCAAGAATGATGAAGGGTAACGAAACCCATGTCCTGTGACTCTGAATTCCCTCTTTAATGTGCAGGCATCAGAAGCATGTCTTCCTGGCAGGAGTGAGAACAGTGTCTAGCCCTGGTGGAGACAGAGCGAGTGTCTCAGGCTGGTGAGAGTTTGGCAAAACCAGAGTCAGGAGGGGTGATCCTCAGGCAAAGCCAGAGAGGAATACAGCCCCAGGAGGTGGAGGGCAAGGAATATCAGTCTCTCTTTCTCTGAGGCCTATGATGGAAGATCTGATCTATTCTTTCATGTCTGGTTGTTTTCATTCTAGCAGACTCTCCACCATCTGGAAATGGACCAGTGCCCCATTGTAAGTAGTACAAAATCAAATACTTCTAAAAGCACTTCTTGAGTTCCTATTTGTACTACATATTACTTTTCTCTTGAACTAAAATGGAGATAAGAAAACAGATACAGCTCCTGCCAGCAATGAACTTACAGTCCAATAAGACATAATTAGCAAACAATCACCCCAGTGGTGCTAGACATAAAGCATATAAGGCCAAAGAAGACTCCAAGAGGGAGACCTGGCCCAGACAGTGATCTGGGAAGGCTTGTCTGAGAGTGGGAAGCATAGACTGGGGTCTGAAGAATAGGGGATTAACAGAGAAACAAGGGTACAGTGTTTTTGGCAGAGGCAAGTGAATATGTGAGAGGCCCCCATGATGAGAGGACTGTGCCAAATATACACATCTACCCGGGGATTGGTGTATCTGAAGTGCAGAGAACGTGGAAATGGACAGGT